CCCCGCCGCCCCTCCGCCGCCCGCGGCCACCGGCGCGGCCGCCTACGAGCTGCCCCCGGCCGCGGCCGCCGCCTCCGTGCCGCTGTCCGTGCTCATCCTCAGCCTGCTCGTCCTCTTCTTCTCCGCCGTGCTGGTGGCCGCCGGGCTCTTCGCCTTCGTGCTGCGGCGCCGCCGGAGGAAGCTGCCGTTCCGCGGCCCGCGGGCGGAGGCGGCGGACCTGGGCGCGGTGCCGCTGCGCTGCCCGAGGCTCTTTCCCGAGGGCGGCGGCGGCGGCGGCGGCGGCGGAGGCGGGGGTGGCACCGGCGAGCGGTCCCCGGAGAAGGCGCCCCCGGCGGGCCACGTCTACGACTACATCCCGCACCCGGTGACCCAGATGTGCAACAACCCCATCTACAAGCCGCGGGAGGAGGAGGAGGCGGCGGGCGGCGGCGGCGGCGGCGGTGGAGGTGGAGGGGAGGCGGCCGAGCTGCTGCGGAGCGGCGGCGAGCGCGGCTTCGCCCACCCCGCCGCCCCCGCCGCCGCGCCGGAGCCCGGCAGCAGCTACCGCACCTTGCTGGAGAAGGAGCAGGAGTGGAGCCTGGCCGTGTCCAGCTCGCAGCTCAACACCATCGTGGCCGTGCACCCCCAGCACCCCGCGGGCGGAGGGCTGGCGGCGGGCGCGCTCGGGGCGGCGGCGGCGGCGGCGGGGGGAGCCCCGCGGGACCGCGACCGCCCGCCGCCCTGCGCCGTGGGCTTCGTGGACTGCCTGTACGGCACCGTGCCCAAGCTGAAGGAACTGCACGTCCACCCCCCCGGCATGCAATACCCGGACCTGCAGCAGGACGCCAGGCTGAAGGAGACGCTCCTCTTCGCGGCCGGCAAGGGCTTCCCGGACCACCAAACCCCCACAAGCGAATACCTCGAGTTAAGGGCCAAACTCCAAACCAAGCCGGATTACCTCGAAGTCCTGGAGAAGACCACGTACCGGTTCTGACCGCCGCCCCGCCGCCCGCCCGGCCCCGCCGCCCGCGGGCAGAGGATACAGCTGTGCGCTCTGCCCCGCCAGATGTGCGCGCTGCGGGGCAGGGCCCTTCTCAGATCAGTAATCGACGAAGTGCCTTCGCAGACTTTTGCCAGCAGATGTTAATCAATCATTATTTTTTATACTGAAACTGAGACTTTGACTGTGCCATGTCATAAAGGTATATTATTATTATTATTATATTATTATTATGGGGGATCTTTGTATTGATCCTGATTAAGTAAATTCTATGTGTGTGTCTCTCTCTCTCTTTTTTCTTTTCCTTTATCCTTTTTCTTTTATTTTCTTTATTCTTGTCGTTTGTTTTGTTTGTTGGCTTTTTTTTTTTTTTACTTTTTTTTCTCCGTTGCGAGTAAACTTCCTCGATATTTTCCCTTGGAGGGGAGGGGGAGGGAAGACGGCATTTTGTGGCTTGCTTTCTTCTTGCCCATCATGGCACAGATTCTGTACATTTATTTAAAAGAAAAAAAAATGCAAAGAAGCAAACGAGCGCAGTTTGCTGCATGCCTGGAAACTGCAAGAGGGAAGGGAGGGGAGGGTCTTGCTCGAATGTCTCACTCTTGTCTCTCTCCCTCCCTCGCACGCACACTCACCCTCACCCTCCCCGCACCCCCCCGCCAGCCCGGCCCCTCGGCGCAGGGCGGCAGCGGGGCCCGGGGGCCGCGGGGGGAATCCCGTGGGCTGGGGGAAACCCCCCCTCCCCGGAGCCGAGCAGCCCAAAGGATGTCACCACGTGGCGCACACACCTAGGGGATGCTCAGTGACACTTCATCATGACGCCATGGTTTTTTGGAGGACATCCGCACTTTCCTAATAAAAGCAACATGCAAATATACAGAAAAAAGGGAAGAAAAAAAAAAAGAAGCTACTGGGCACCTCTCACTAACAGCTTTGTAGGAAGCACTTTTAATGTTTTCTCTCATGCACACATACACGCACACGAACACACACACACACACAAAGGTACAACAATGTGCATATATTTATTCTGTAATTTCAAGTGAATATAAATTGTAAAGGTAATGTTTAATCATTGTACAGTGATGCGTCTGGTATAGCTTTCCTAATAAAACGTTTTAAAAAACAATGCATATATATATATATATATATACAACCCTAAATATATATATATATATAGGAATACAAAGCTTGAACCTGAAACTTCAGCTTCCCCCACGGAGATTTCCTTCCCTCCCATAACCTTGAACGCTATTTTATTAATAACAGTTCGATGCACTGTGATGTTAACAGAGGAAAAAAAAAACCCTGTACAGCGTCTCTTGCCAAGATACCACCCGAGACTGTCACAAATCCGATTTGCGATCTGTATCCCTGCTGTGCTCTGCTGATAGTTAAAAATACCGGGAAAATTGGGAGCGCATCCCGCCGGAGCGCTGGCTCCCGGCCTGCTGGAGGCACCGAGGCTTCGCTGGGGTGCCCCCGGGCGCTCGCAGCCGCAGTCCGTGCGGGGCGAGCCGTCAAAAATGCGCAGGAGAGGGGGCGAATTAAACCGCATTCCCAGTTTGGAATGGGGTGATGCGATCTTGGAAAAGCGCCTCTCCCCGCTCCCGCCGCGAGCGGAGCGAGACCAAAGACGATCGGATTTCCCTGCCCCGGGGGGGGGGGCAGGTCCCGGTTGGTATCTTGTCCCCCGTTGGTGTGTTGTCCGCGTTGTCCCCACCGTGTCCCCGCCGGTGTCGTGTCCCCGCCGGCCCCGGGACGGGCGCGGTGCGCGGCCCCGCGCGGCCGCCAGGTGGCATCGCCGCTCCAGCGCTGGGGCGGGAGCGCGCACGGACCCGCTCCTGGAGCCGCCTCTGGAGCCGCTCCTGGAGCCGCCTCTGGAGCCGCTCCCGCATCCCCACCCCGCTCCCGGTCCGGACCCGCTCCCGACCCCTCTCCTGCCCCCCGCCCGCCCCGCTGAATGTACCCCCGGGCGCCTTATACCGGGGCGGGGCACAGCCTGCGCCGCCCCGAAGTTCTTCAAATAGCGGTTTTTATACGGAAATACCCAATCTGTCCATAAATATAATTTGTCTGAGCAGCGGTCAGGGTGGTGTATCCAGGTGTATGGAGGTTATTCGCCCGCTGAGCTCCAAAGGTGCTGCCCGGAGCGCTCCTGCCGCTGTCCCGAGGGGACCGGGATTTGTCACCTCCCCGCCCCAAGGTCACTCTCCCGACCATCCGCCCTCCTCCCTCTGGGGAACAGCTCGGTTTCACCCCGCACAATGCGTTTTAACAGAGACAAACCCATAAATACTTGGTTCCCCCCCCCCCCCCCCCCCCCCCCAGTGTTGCTATTTACAGCTCCAGCCAGGATGCTCCTTGTAGGCTTTTTGTGTCCATCTGTCTTGGAGAGTCATGGTAGTAGCTGTGGGTGTCTGGAGACACAGGGACAGCTCCAAACGTCTGTAAACCCAGCATCACCTCCACTACATCAGTAAAAATGTCACCCATTTGAATTTCTTCTGTTGAGTTGATACTGTGTTTTATCACTGCTGCCTTCAGCTCTAATCCCTTGGGGTTGGTTCATTTGTTTGCTCTGTTGTTTGTTTTGTTGTTTGTTTTTTTTTTTTAAAATGGATAATAGAAGAGCATGCACGTGCTAAAGGTATGAAACATGCAAGTGCAAAGGCCAGATCCTCCTTATCACAATTGTAAGAATTACATCCATGAGCCTACATGCAAGTAATGCGTGGAGCTGTATAAATCAGGTTAAAGTACAACCCCCAGTGAGAGTGGTGCTGTAAACATTTGGCAATGTCACCAAACCCCCAAGTGTTCATACTTGTATCCAAATAGAGTAAAGCCGGTTGCAAATAATGTTTATATTTTAATTAAACTGCAGAAAGGCAAAGAGAATTTCAACATAACTATAGGCAGTAATCTCGCCCCTGGACGGTGAGCAGATCTATTTATTCAGTGGAAAATAAATTTGTTCTATGAGAATGGAATTTTGTATTAAAAGAGATAATTTTTGGCTTATGTTGAGTTATTTTTCTTTCCTTGCGTAGGAAACTTCCTTTTCCTTGTGTACTGAGATGTTGTGGGGATGAATTGCTCTGAAAGTGTTGACAATGTTTAAGGGACAATTCAATCTGGAAGTGTTGACAATATTTAAAGGGATAATTCGCTCTGAAATTGTTGACAATATTTAAGTGTGATGTCTAAAGGGTGTTTTGATGAGTCTTATTTTGCTGTTTCATTGTGTTGAGCTGAGGCTGAGTGGGTGGCAGCAGTGCTTTCCACTGCAGGAAACAAAAATGGATCCATCATCTCTGATCTGTGATAGGTGACTCTTTACGTGCTTCAACCTGGGTTACGCCTAATTATTAGGGAGTATTAATGCTAATTATATCATTATCAGCAGTATTCTTGGTAGCATTCATGATACTGGGAAGGAATCAAATAAAGTCAACGTGATCTGCAGTTACATTAGAGCTGTTTGACGGGATACTATTTGAAATAAATATTTTTTTAGCTTATTTCATTGTTGTACAAGTACCTGGTGTTGGCTTGAGCAGTTCAGCCTGCGGGGGTGCTGGTAGCAAAGTTTTCAGCATGTGTTTGGTCTATTCACTCATTGACTATATTGAAATTCTTCCTACAGGTGGAAAAGAACAGCAAGGCCAGGTAAGTCCCAGTCAATAACAGCTGCACACAGGGAAATAGAAGGGATGGTGCTCAATTATTGGTGCTCTTTTTTATTTTCTGGATATTGTCATTGATGTCACTGTCACACTGTGCCCTGGGTTAAAAAATTTGCTTGGAAATTGCTTCATGGATCTCTTGAGTGTATCAACAGTGAGAGAAAGGTGTTCATTGTTACAGTATGAATAATAATCTGAATTTTGGGAAGCAATCCAGTGCCTGTTGCAGGAAGATAGGACCTGAACTGCTCTGGTTGGATGAGTATTGAGAGTGAGAACCTCATTTGTTATGACATTCAGTGAATATGAGTTAAGCTGTGGTAGCTCAAGATTTTGTCAGAGGCCTTTCCAGACAAACTCACTTTTGAGCGTGGCTGATTTGGTTTTAAGCTAGAAATGTGTGTTTTCGTTCAACTTATGTTCTCTCTGTGAACTTTTCCAGCAGCAGGAGAAAAAAAAGGTCTCTAGAAAATGTCAATCTGCAGTGCTGCACATTTCTGGAGAGCTCAGGTGTGCCAGCAGCACTTCACGAGCTCTGTGCTGCTCCCACTTGGTTCAAGTACCTACTTCAGAGGAACGAGACCCGATGATTTGGGTTTAGGTCGAACAGAAATGTTCACATGAAAAAAAAAATTGTGTAGAATTTGGCTGTAAGTGGGGGAGTTCATTGCTCAGCTACATCACTCAACCACAGGGTATGACTTCTGGCAGAGCTCCAGCCACTTAGGTGGGAACTTGTTCCAGGATTGCACTTCTTCCAGAGGCACTTGCTTTTACAATGTGGATTTATGTACACTTGGAAATCAGGCTGCTGTGCATGGCATATTCCTATTTTCTGAGTTTTTCCAAGGCTCGATTCTAAATCTGGCTCCCTCATAGCTGGGTTTCACAGTGAATTTATGTGGGGATGGATTTATGAATGGGTTGTGCAGTACAACACAGTTGTTCTCCATGGAAGAAATGTAAATCCACACAATACGGAGTTTCACGACAGCTTTTTGTACAAAAATTGCTATTTTTTGATACTGTTGTGAGTGGAAATACATCTCCTTTTTCCAATTCTTGAAATATTGCTGGTTTGATTGGGCAGGTGTAGCTATGCCCCAGTTTGAAACCTATTTGAGCTAGTGGAAGAATTGGAATGTGCTTGGAACAAACCCTTGAGTGGGTATGGACTGGAGGCCCAATTCTGCTCCCTTGGAGCAAGTGTTGAAACACCACATTATGCTCAGATTTAGTCAACAGACTTGAATGAGGAGCAAAATCTGATCTCAGAAAATTACAACATATATTAAGTGGATTCAAGTATGTTGAGACAAGTGTTTCCTGTGACTATTTCAGAATAAAATGAGTCATGGTACAGAGAAAATGGGTTTGTATCAATTTAGTAATTTTTCTGATTGACCTCACTCACAAATTAATGCTTTTGATTTTAAAATAAGAATATTTGCCTCAAGACAAATTAGTTTAGACCTAATGTCATTGGTAACCAACTAGCCAAGGAGATTAGTAATGTAACAATTGCAAATTGTTTGGAAATACTTTATTAGTATTATCTTTCTCTTTGAAAGCAAGAATATTAACTATACCAACACTGGCCATTCTATGATTCTGTGATTAACAGGCACTGACAACTGTGTTTCATAGAATTATTCTTAAAATGTCTTTTCCTTGATCCTTATAGTTTCCCAGTTGTAAAATTATGTAATTCTCATTTTTGTTGTGGTTGTTTGGGGCAGTTTGGGGTGTTTCTGAGGAAAGCATTTGCTTTGCTACACACGGGGTTTCCCCAGGAGGTGAAACTTGTGGGTTATCTTTGATCACTGGGACTGTATCTGGAAACACTCCCCTGTTAAACTGGTCGAAATTTTCTGTTAAATTGGTCGATATTGTGTTTTTCAGAATGGTGTCAGACGGATCATTTTTGGGAAAAAATGACAGGAAAAGGCTCAAAGGAGCAGAGCCACTGGCACTGCTGTAGGAATGCTCTGTCCCACATTCACACTGGGCAGTCTCTGCAGGGTGGATGTTGCATCAACCATTATATTTTTGAATGCTAAGGATGCTCATCTGAAGTGTGGGGTTATTTTTAGGCATCATGAAGATGTACATGATATACTCAGCTGTTGGGTGCCTTAAAAAGAATAGGTACAAATAGAGGGCATAGCACAACATAAAATACGAATAACTCACCCATGTCATACACTGAATCTTTAATGTCCATTTACTTTTTCTAACGTCTTTATTTCTCCACCAGAATTTTCTAAATCTCTCAGAGATATCCTGTATATTCTAGGAATCCTGAAGAAATATTTTAGGGCTAGCCAAGGGTTGAATCTCTCAGTATCTGGGAATTCAAACAAGTGCCACTAGCTGGGGAGGAATATCCTGCCCATGGCACGTGGCACAGCAATTTGGCACCTCGCTGTAGAGTGGTGCCAGTGAGGGAGGTTCTCTGCAGCAATGAGATTTTCCAGGAGGGATTGAATGATTCCAAAGAGGAGCTCCTGAATTGTGATAAATCACTATTGGAATGGAAGAGACCTGAGATTTGCTGCTGCTTCTGATGGCACTGCCATCCCTGCTGCTGGTGGTGGCACCTGGCACCGTGGCCAAGGGGGGACTCCTGTCGCAACAACCCTAAAAAAAACCAACCAAACAGCCAAAAAAAGCAGAGGAAAGGTTTGGGAGCCTTTATCCTGCAGGGACCATCTCATCTGAAGTTAATGACTTTCTCCAGATGTTGCAGTGGCATTAATATACTGTTATGGGATTTTTATGGAGTTTTTTTCTTGCTTTCCTCAGCTTTACTTTGCTTTTCCAGAGGCAGTACCTGGTTTAAATGTTGAAGAACTGCAGGAATGTGTTTGTTGATACTTTTTCAGACCAAAATTGTTTAAAACTGAGTCTGTCACAAAAGACTGTCCTAAACTGAGATGAGTTTTCTAGAAAGCTACAAAAACCTTTGGTTTTGTACTTGGTCTCTAAGTTGTTTTATATATATATATATATATATGTTAAATGTTCCTTATTGTATAACCCTTTAACCAAAGTCTGTCATTGAGCTTTGGAGGCTTTGGTTTTGCAATACAAAGTTAATTAATGGTTTGTTTGTTTTTGAGGTTTTTTTTTGTTCTGTGATTGTTTGGTTTGATTTTATTCCGAGTATGACTGGAGAGAGGGAAATATTGCAAAGTGTGAAAATTCTCACCAAACTATACTTTTTAATAGGACTTTTAAATTTAATTCTTTTTATTTTCTTCAGAGAATGAAGGAGTTATGCTCAAAAGAGTGCAGGAATTGCCACTCAGTAGAGCTGATATGTGTTCACTCTGCCGTGTCCTGAGAGTGCCCAGGACAGTCTGACTCAAAGGGAGGTGTAAGAAATTCCCACTAGTGAGATTCCAGGGTTGGATTTGTCCAGCTAATCTGCTCCACCCTGAGAAATCCAGTTCCTGGGGTGCTGCACCACTGGAGGGACTGGTCCAGTGTGCACAGGGAGCACTTAAAAAAATCATGTTGCAGCATTTGGGTGAAAAATGAGCTTTTAAAAAGCTGGGCATTTAAAATTTTGCCTCTGTTTTCTTTAGAAAACTCATCCAGAGTTTCTCTGGTGCCGTTGAACTGCCCTGCAAGGGCACATCTGATCAGTTGTCCTCAAAGCACTGCTGAAATAGATGTGTAGCTAATGCATTCTTCTGAATTGGAGAGCAATTTCTTGTGGCATCACTTCTGTTATGTTTTCTTGCAGTGACCCAAAACCCCTGGCTGCTTTGGAAAGTGGATAGTATTGGCAAGCAAAGAAATATGGCAAGTAAAGGTATTTTTTAGATCCAGTTTATGTCAGTGTTTCCTTCAAAGAAAGGGCGAATCACAGCTATGGGCTCCTTGTTCTGCAGCCCTGAGGAGGAGTAAAGGCACTGATTAAGGCAAAGAGCCCTCATTTAATCCGTGGTTAATTGTCCCCTTCAGTTTTAAACCAATAAAGTAAGAATTGTGGATGTATCTAATTTATATATATAAATATAAATATATATATTCCTCCTGTGAGCACTGAGGGGCTGTGACACTACAGCCAGGAGTGCTGATGGAAGGAATGACAATGGCATTGCTGGGAGGAGGGTTAAGCTGTGACAGGTGGGAACTGTGCCAAGGCTGACAGTGCCAACGGCACCTGAAAGCCAAGTGCCTCTCCCTGGGCAATAACCACAGGGAAACCTTGTTGAAAACTCTTTAGAGCAGGCAAACAAATATCTCATAAGCCCCTATTTTCCCTGCCTTTGGCCCAAGTTCTCAACCAGCCTCCAGGTCTTTGGCATTCTCAGCTCTGACCCCTCTGCATGCTCGGACATCCCTTTGGCTGATGGCCAAAGCTCTGACCCCTCTGGAGTGGGGGCCAACTGAAAATGTGGTTCTCTCTGTTGGGTTTTTCTGTAGAGTGGTGTTTTGCACCTCAAGACTTCCCTCTGTACCGACTGGATTGCCCACCTGGCCCTCGGCTCTGTGGCAGCCCCCCGAGGTTGGCCCCGGTGCCGTCACGGGCCCTGTGCTCTGCCAGCCCCTCCGAGCCAACCAAAGCCTGTCACAGCCTCCAGAGCACAAATCCCTGGGCAGATGGATCCCTAACAGCTACACTTCAGGGAGAAAGCGGAGAGATGCTCCTAAAATTAGTTGCTGACAGCTCAAAGAAGGAGTAACTGCCTCCCGTGTCATTACTTCTTCCGGAACAGGGACGTGTGTGTGTTATGGAAATGCTGACACTGGGTTTGTACAGTATGTGCACACGTGCTGGGTGTGTGTCTAAGTATCCATGAATACGCTGTTAAAGTGTAGGATTGGATTGCTGGAAAGTTCTGGGGGGTTCAGGAGCATGGCTTGCTTTGGACTGTTATTAAAACGTGGGCATTTTGGTAACGAAGCTAAAAATAGCCACTTTACGACCTACATTCCCAATGTAGGTCAGTGGAGGCACTTCTCAGACATATTAGCATTTTGGACACTTAATCTTAGCAGCATATTGCATCTCCTAGAATAGGTTAGTAGAGGCAAGGCAGGAGGAGTTGCTGCATCTCGAGTCGTTCCGAAAGGTTGCCAAGTTTCTCAGGAACCAGAGCAGCAGAATAATGAGGATTATATTTAATTTGGGATGGAGAGGCAACCGTGGGGTGTTCAGCAGAGGCAGCTGGGATCATCTTGGCTCTGTGAGGGAGGGAGAATTTATAACTCTAGCTAGCTAAAAAGCAAGCTGTGCGTGCACTTGTGTGTATATATATATTTATATATATGTATATACAAATCTGTGTATGTGTATATAACACCGTGTGTATATATGTATGTATGTATATGGCTAAAATGTATTATATGTGTATCTATAGATATGTATACATTTATATGAATTTATATTTCTCTATATAAATAGTCATGCAACTATGGGAACTCACAATTCAACGGTGTGTCCTTTTTCTTTAAAACACAACAAAAAGCTGCTTCCATTAATATCAAATTGGCACAAGTGTCTTAAGTTTTCTTTTCTCTTTAGAAAGGAGTGGTGCTTGTGGTCAAGCACAAGCCTGGAAGGGTTTGACTCTTCCAGAGGACTCAGAGTAAATCATTATCTGCTCCACAGCCATTCTACATTTGTGACATAAAGTGGTGGCCAAAATGACTCAGGGCTGGTTTTACAGGCAAACAAAGTGGGTTGTTGACTGTTTGGAAGTCTCTGTTATGCTCATGGATTTTTAATGGTGAAATGTCTGCACTGATAATTACTCTGGTTGCTGTTAATGCCCAGCTAATGCTAATGGCTTGAACAGAGGAAAAAAAAGATGAATTTTCTGCTCTAAAGTAAGTTATCTGAAGTCTGATTACGTTGACTCAGTGATGTATGGATTTCCATTTAGGGGCAGGATGTTGGGCTGTAAATCAAGAATCTTAGCTCAGTGAACATCTAGTTTGGGATGTCTTTTATGTTATAATTGATTTTAAATCATTTCAATTCATTATCAGAACAAGCTATACCTTAATTCACGATAAGCTCAAAGGATCTCTCAGCTGGAAACCCATTCATAGCAGGGTGAATTTTACACTTGTCTTCGGTGGGGTTGAATCAGGTCAGAGAGTTTCATTCAGCGCTGGCATAAAAACAGTCTTGTAGCTGTGCAACTATTAATTCAAATTGTAATTTTGTAATAAAAGCAGCCTAAAAATGACTTACTAGTTATGTGTTCTATGGCTACAGCATCTATCTATCCATGTGATGTGTTGGCATCGGGTTTGATTTTGTGTTGCTGGTTGTTTTGCCCCCACTGGAGCTGGAAGCGGCTCAGCCCCTGGAATAACACACCATAATTCTGCAGTGGAAGGGGAAAGCTGCAAAGTAATGATCTCTGTCAGCACTCCTTAAGCTGTCTGCCCGGAATGGTGGCCGACTGCTGAATTGCCACATGTGTTGTGCTGGGATAAATGTAGGTCACGGGAACGTGGATTTGTCAGGAGGATTTTGGCTCCCCCGTTCCCGGCTCCCTCTGCACTCCTGCTGCTGCTGCACAGAAATGTCCCTGGGCCTCCACCAGTGACCAGGCCAGGGCTGTCATGGTCATTAGGGCAGCGTGGATCTGTCATGCTGCCAATCTGCCATCTCTCGCAAACTGTAATGTGATAAGAAAAGGAAAGAGGGAGAATGGATTATTCCTTTCTGAGCCCTTTGCTTCCTTTAAGGCAGAAGACAAACAAACACGGAATATCACGGAAATCAAAACAAATACCCAGTGGCTCGAAACATATGACATTGAGGGAAATATTTCTTCTCAGCTCCCTGATTATGCTTTGCCTTATTATTTCATCTGGAGGAAATAAGCACCTTATGGGAAAGTGCTTCCCAATCTCTTTTGCATAAATGTTACAGTGAAACTCTCTGTGATATATAGCTGCCTGTTCAAGAAAATAGGTCATTTCCATACAAATGTCATATTTCTATGCAGAAAATATGCTGAATTCATATAGTATCTTCTAGCTAAAGCAATCCTTTTGCTGGTTTTGTGATTTCAGCATATTTGCCTGAGTGAAGGCAACCAGAAGAGGAGCAGAAAAAATGATTATTTTTTAATTAACTCATGCAGGCCTAATGTCAGGCTAAGCACTTGAATGCAGTGTCTCTGGGGCACACACAGGAATATCATCCTCAAATGGCTAATTTCTCCTTTTAGCAAGAAGCATCAGGGTTTGAGCAGAGTGAATCACAAAGCTCAGAGAGCCACTGCTTTGCTGAGCGTCCAGAGACTCTGGAAAATAAGTTTGTCTGATGTCACTTGTTCAAGAAGATGCCTGGATGTCTGTGTCCTCGGGGAAGCAACCATTCACACAGGAAACCCACAAACTGAAGCCTGGAAAGGAGTGATGAGGTTTGCAAATCTCCTTATGCTCTGTGGCAATCTCTATCCTCGCAGGATGAATTTAATCTTTGGTGCACCTGGGCTTGCACTGCTGCTCTAAAGAAACAATAAACCAACCCTGCCTTCTGTAAAGTTCAATTTTGCTGTGGCTTTTTGTGTTGAAGTGGATTTTAGGATCAGATGTACAAACCAAGTTGATGCTGTGGATGGACAGCCAAAGAAACGAGATGCCCTAAAGCCCTGGAGGTGCCTAAGGCTCCCCTGGTGTAAATGGTTGCAGCTCCACTGCCCTCAGCACAGCAGTCACCTCCTCTGAGGAGGTAATTCAAGGAGGTTTGGTACCTGCTGGTGTTCCTCTGGAAGGCTTTCTAAGCAACCACTGGTATTTCTTTAAGTAAGTTTAAAAATGAGGATGAACCAGCCCAACTTTTCAGCCCCTGTGAGCTGGCACCAGCCCAGCACAGTTCTTGGGCTTCTTCCCCCTGTGTGTCATCACCCTTTTCACCCAGGGGGTGGTTTTCTATCCCCTGGGAATGCAAAGAGCTGAAATCATTGCTGTGTGATGACCTCTGGTGCCACCAGTATCTCCTGGCCCATGGATGGGCTGTTAATTCACAAGGACAAGGGTTTTTCAGGCTCCTGTTGAAGTCCTGCACGAGCTTCTACACCCACCTAAAACCCACTCCTGTCCTTGGGTGCCAAAAAAACCCCCCTGAGGAAATATCCCTTTACCAAATCCTGCTTAAACCAAAGAGAGATATTTTCACCATAATAATAATGATAATGCTTTATATAATGTATTTTATTAACAAATAAGCAGGCACTGACCACCAAGGTCTCGTCTGGAGTATGAGAGGCACCCACAAATTTGTCCTTGGAAAAGTCTTTGTTTTCCCTCCTCTTCCCTCTGTAAATCCTGTTGGTACAGACTCATCCTATTTTCATCAGATGGAATTTATTCCCCAGGTAGAATATGGGAAAGTGATCTTAAGAGGTTTGTGTCCTAAGGGGAGCAAAACATTCCCTGGGAAAGGTCTGTCCCACCCACTAATCCTACCTGGAGCTTTGGGTGGTTGTGTTGGATCTGAACATTTCGATATTTAAAATTAATTAGAATTTAACTGGAATTAAAGTCCTGTTCCCAATTTCCCATCTCCATGGGGAGGACAGTAAGAACTTCTTATCTCATAAAAATATTATGAGTATAATGTGTTATTAAATGTCCAGATACTCTATTTAATGGAACTTTGCATATGTATAAAAAGGGGGAAATTATGTTACTGGTATTTCTTTCTGTAGGAAGGGATTTTAGGATGAAGTAAAAATTAAACAAACAAGAAGTCAAATTATTCTTATCAAAATAATTATTAACCTATTGAAATACTGTGCTATGGCAATAAATCACTGACAAATCTGGATATTTATGTGCCAGTGTTAGGATTAAGGTCTGAACAGTTCAGTAGTGATTTAATTGCTGAAGATTTTTCATCTTCAAAAATTTTGCATTCAAAAAGTTGGAAAATTTGAAACCAAAATCCTCAACCTGATTTTTTTAATGATTTCTTGGTAGCTGAAAAAGATGTGACTCCTTGAAACAAACAAACAAACCCTTTTCAAACAAAAACCTTTTCAAAATTGTTTTCATTTTAAGAAAAACCCCACATTGTTCATCTTGAGAAAACTCCTTTTTGAAGCATAGAGAAGCTTTCTGAAAACAATACTAATTTAGAAGAAAATACTTTTTTGTCAAGCCTTTATATTTATAGAAATAGAGCAATTTTTTTTCCTTTTTATTAGAAAAAATGTCTTAACTTTTAAGTGCTTTGATTTGTGTCAATTTTGTCTGTAGGGGAAAAAAAAAGAATCTTTAATCTTTCTGGTATTATGGGAAAGAAAACCCACTCAGGCACATGAAGGTTTTGTTTTCTGGACTCAAAAAATTTTTTCTACCCATATCAGTTTTTTACTAAAAGAAATTACATGTTCTCTTACTTCAGTAATTGACTACTTTAAGGAAAAAAATAAAGAATTTATCTCTGGAAATGTTCAAAGCCACAAAGGGGCTTGGAGCAACCTGGGCTAGTGGAAGGTGTCCCTGCCCATGGCAGGGGATGGAACTGGATGGGCTTTAAGGTCCCTTCCAACCCAAACCATTCTGGGATTCTCTGACACTAAGGATTAATAAAGGAATGAAGTACTGAAGGGAAGCAAAACTCAAGTATTGATAGCAAAGGGCCTAAAACTAATAAACTGAGTTTCCATTGCCAGAAACGTGGGTGTAACCAACAGGAGCTTGTAAATGAATAATCCTTTTGAACCAATATCAAAGAGTTTGCTCACTTTTTTATTATACCATTACAAATGCAAACTATGACTGAGTTCATAATCTTTGTTGCTGCCACTTTGTCATTACTAAAAGTGATAGTCCTGGGCAAATGGAAGGGTGGGAATAGGAGAACTTGGAGAAAATAGCAGATACTTTGCTTCTCCAGTGATATGTGGCAATAAAACTGAGAGTTCTACTTTGTACATCCAGTTTAACAAACTAACAGTAAAATTGAATGATTAATGATGAAAAGAACAGGAAAAAAGTCCAAATATGTGTCTTTAGTTGGCCCTGTAGCATTCAGCTGTGTATGGGCAGGTCCTTGACTGCTGGGACTGGTTAACACCAGGAATAAGATGTTTTTTCCTGAAGTTAGACTCTTTAACACATCCTTTTTTTTTTCATCCTCAGGGAAATGTCACCACAATATCAGGAGAACGGTCTCAATGACCTAATTTATATATTTACTTTTTTTTTTTTTTAGCTTTTGTGCCACAGCTATAGTCCTGAAAAATGTAATGGTCCTTGAAGGAGGGCACACAAACAGGATTTCATCTGTTTATTTGTGCGTGAAACAAAATATGCACAGGGGCTGAGAGTCTCTGTTGCATAGGACAGGTATGGCAGGATAATATTCATGGATAAAGGAGCACTTCTGGCAATGTCACAGGCTTAGGATGCTCAAATTAGCCTTGCAAAGACAAAGCCTGTGCTGTGCACACCTGCAGCTGTGGGTAAACGAGAGAAGAAGGAGCATTGTTAAGCTGTTAAAGCCTTGGATTTCTGTCTCACCTTCATTATTGGCTGATTTGCAGTACCTATAATTAATGTGCTTGCAGTGGGTGGCTCTCTTTACATTCTCCTGTTTCTTTTCACAGCTTAATCAGGGCACAAGAAAAACTTCAAATTAGGATTCTCTGCGACGTGTTTTCCAAGTTTCCCGGTGCTGTGGAGAGAGCCCAAACAGGGGAAGGCACTGGAGATTAACAGATGTTTGATCCTGAAGCCTTCCAGATGAAAAGTTGGTTGTGGTTTTGGGCTGGTTTCCAATTCTTAACTTTGCAGCGCCTTGTAACAAGTAAAGAAAAGTGGAATATTCAGGAAAGACCCAAACTGTGATGCTCTGCTCAGCTCTGAGCTGTGAGGATCATCCCAGTAAGTTTTGTACCTCTCAGAGTGGTTCATAGAACCATTAAGGTTGGAAAAGTCCTTCCAAGATCATTGGGTCCAACCTTTGACTGGCAGAACCTCTGTGGAAAGGTTGGCACTGGGGAAGATCTGGGCAATACCTGAGAAATACAATAACCAGCAGCACTTGAGAGGTCACATAAAGGTATTTTCAATTCCTGCTGACCTTTTAGACACAGCTTGTGTGGCATGAGAGACAGAGAGTACCATTGCTGGGCACTGACACAGCTCTGGGTAGAGCAGATTCCCAATGGACCTCAGGAAATACCATAGAATCATAAAATAGAATCACAGAATGGTTTGA